AAAAAAAAAAAAAAAAAAAAAAATCTTCATCTACAAGAATAAAGTCAGAACTTGAATAGAAAACAGATTGACAACATCAAAATTACAATTTAGATGAGACAGAAATTATCAAAGTGCAAGAGTGTAAATCAAAAGAACTAGCATATGAATCTAATGTGCCACTCTATGGCATCGATCATTATATAAAGAAAAAGAAAAGATAAATCTTAATTAACATAAATGAATTCAAACGTAAAAAATTTGCATGTGTGAATTGCATAATTGAATCAAAAAAAAGAAAAGGAAAAAAAAATGCAAAATCAAGGTAATTCCAGTGAGGGTACTCTTCATAAAAAGACAGCGGAGTAAATGCAGAATTAATATTAGCTTAAATTAAACAATCTACAAACTTAATTGCTTCAACACCTGAAATGTACGTTATCAAACTCGATGCTACCCCCATCCAACTTTAAAGGCTTCACATTGTCCTTATCTCTCACATCAGCTCGTTCCTATAGTGAAAAATAAAACTAAAGGTGTTAATTCCAAACAAAATGCAGATAGACGACTTTAGACACCCAAGATGGTAATGCAGGACATCAAAAGTGATTGTTGTTTGATGTTTAGTACCTCCAGCAATTGAAACATCGATTTCATATCAACAAGGCTCTGAATGGTCTCCCGATAAACACTACCAAGGAAATTAAGAGGAAGAGATAACTGAAAAAGTAGACCATTCACCATAACCTGTTCAAAGAATATCATAATTACACGGTTAACTATATTGTTCAAAGTATATTAAATTAAAAGAGGATTAGATTTTAGATAATACCAGATCACCAACTGTCATATTGCCATTCAAAACTCCATGTGAACAGAGCACCATAGCAGTTGATAGCGCTGTGCTAAATATTACATTTTGACCAAAGTTTAAGAAGGCCAGACTGCGCTGTGTTGTCAGAGCAGCATCCTCATACTCTAAGAGTAAGAATCACAAACAGCATTAGCATTCAACGCCAGTTGGGAACCAAAAGAAATATCAAGCTCCATTGGCCTACATTAAAGTTGATATCTTATCTTTCCATCCCTTTTTGTGCTTAGGTTGTTTAAATTGGGTGATATTTTTTTCTTATTTACTAAAAAACAAAACGAGTATTTTGTTTGACAGAGGCATTTCATGTCACTTCCCTAATACATGCTCGAACTGTATTTTTGAGGTGTGCTTAGAATAAATCCTTCTGCTGTTACAAGTACACTGGTATCTTCACCTATTAACATTCTCGAACACAGAACTCAAGCAGGGGATTGAGGAGAACGAAAAGTAATACAAAGTACAAACAAAGTCTACATCTATGGTTGAGGCTACTTCATTTTTCATACTGTAATAAATATTGAGTAAACATGGTAATGTGCACATAAATATCACATGATGTAGTGATCTTTATAACCACATTTTTGGCAAGCGCTTTCTCATTTTTTCCCAAACCATTTTAGTAAAAAACCACTATAAGCTACTGTAGGAGTATTAGAGTAAGACTTACTCTTGAGATACTCATCATACTTATTGGCTTCAAAGGCTTCATTATTGAAGTATTTAACGGTCTGCAAAAGTACATTTAGTAAGGAAAAGGAGCAGCAGAAGAATGGAAACTGAGTTATTTATGAACAAGTAAAAAGCAACCATGTCAGGAACATCGTGGGCAGACCTCATAATTAATAAGTGAATCAATTGCCCTGGTGTTTGCATCATTATCAGCTTTATTCATGGCCTTCCTAAACTTAGTTCTCCACTGAAAATACATAAAAGAGACGAGAGAGAATAAGTGCATTCAAAAGACAATATATCCAAACGTCAAAAACCCATTAAACTATTTGGTGGTAGTGGCAAAAGAACATAAATTCAAATGGAAATGAAAACTAAAAATGTTATGATCAACAAACAGGAAAAGTAAACATAAACTCAAGATCATATCTCCAACAAATACAGCAAATAGGTATAGAATTGGCGGTAGTAAGGAACCTGAGTCACAGTCAATGTAAAAATGACATATGCTATCACTGATAGTGAAGTGATAAATGCGAATGGAGCTCCAAATTTATAGGCCAGAATACCCGACACCATGGATATCTGATAGAACAGAAGTTCAAGTTAAAACCGGATAACAATGATGAAACAAAATTCCCATCCCCATGAAACATTATGTGAATCAAGAAGAGAGATAAACAGACAGAAATCAAGACATCAACAAATGGATTCTCAAGTAGTTCCAAAATGCACGGATCCATGTAAGAGAAAGCTATAAAATCCTACCTCTAAGATGGTGGGTACAACATTGAAAACCATTGACGAAAGAATAAAATTTATTGCACGGCTACCGCGATCAATAGTTCTACTTAAGGCACCTGTTTCACGGCTACAAATAAAACAAAAAGGACAAAAGATTATCACGGAAGTTACACTCAAAAAGGAAAATAAATTAAAACCTGCTGACATCACAAATCATGATTCATGCATAATCATACGAGACAAGATGTCAACCCAGTATGAATGAAACAGAGATGAAAGAGTAACACTACTTCTTGCACTTTTCAGATTCACTGGAAGCAACACCATCCTGACAACTTCACTCCAATAACATTAAAGTTAATTCTGTACCATATTTGTAGTCAATTAAGAGGTATTACGACTGAAAATTGGGTAATTGACTTTTCTCTCCGTCATAGTCTTCAATAAATCAGACAAGTAACCTAGGGTCTATTTGGTATGAAATTTGAAATTCATTGCTTGTTTTCAGATAGATTCAATGAGTATCCATTTGGCATATTTGTTTCTAAAAACTATTTTTGGACTATGTGATCCAATAGTAAAATTTTGAAAACAACATTTTTATGATTTTTCTCCATCCCGATTTTTAAATTTGAAATTTTAAAATGCAGAATTACACTAAAAAAAAAAAAAGAGAGAGAGAACGCAATGTGTTTCTGCCAATCTTAACTAGGCCATTTTTCTAGAATGTATTGAGTCCTGCACAAATAATCAGTATCTCCAGCAACATATCTTCCCCAAATTTCTCCATCCTTGTAAACAGCTGTCCTAGAAGTAAAATCTTAGCTACGAGGGGTGTTCGACAAGGAGATCCATTATCTCCCTTTTTTATTCATCATGATTATGGACACCTTAGCCATACGCTAACTAAAGCAGAAGGTAACATCAAGCGCTTCCGGGTTGGTTAAGGCAATTTTAGTGTTAAACACATCCCTTGCTGACAACAAGATCCTTTTCTCCAAATTCGATGATGAGCTATCCCTCAAGCACCTTCTCAATGTGAATGAGGCATTCAAGAAGGTTTCTGGACACAACATCAACCTCTATAAGTCCAAGATCATCAGTATTAATGTCGATTCACACTTATTGAGAAATCGGCTGTTTAATACAATTGTAAATTGGGGAATTGGCCTAACACATATTTGGGACTCCATTTATGTGGTGCACCTAGAGCTCTCTTTTTGGTCCCTGCAATTGAGAAAATTGAAAAAAGACATAACATGGAGCTCCACATTCACGTCCAAAGGGGGAATAAGGCTCACACTTACCCCAGGCCACCTTAACAAACCTTCCAACCTACTATATTTGTATATTCAGCTTGTCAAACAGGGTGGCCCTAGAAGGAAATATTATTCAGAAATTTCCTTTGGAAAGGGGGCTTAAACACAAACGGCCAGCATCTTGTGAAATGGCCAAATGTACTATACCCGTTGGAACAAGGGGGTCTTGGTCTCCATTCATTAAGGACAAAAAAACAAAGCTATTCTTGCGAAGTGGGATGAGATGCTTTATGGAGGAAGCTTACAATAGCCAAATATGGTTCATCGACTTTTTCAAATTGGGCTTCCATGTCCATGGATGAAGGCCAAGGAAAAACATTATCAAGCATCAAGACTTCAGCACTAACGGAATCCGTCGTCAAGTTTGAGATAGAGTATCCACTTTATTTCGGATCGATCCTTGGATATCTAGGCCTCCTTTAGCCACTCGGTATCCCCTTCTTTACAGACTATCCCACTGTAATGAAGCATCAATCAAAGAAGTCTAGAATAATAATTGCAGTTTCTGTGATCTCAGGCTTCGAAGGAAATTGAAGGATGTTGAAGCCTCTGAATGGACGGATCTTAGCATGGACCTTGCCCCACTTTTCCCTTCATGGAGATGGCCATATTGTCCAAATGGACACTTTTCAACCAAATCACTATTAGCTGACATGGGTGACCCCACAAATCTTTTGAAGACATCTTTGGCTGAAGGTATTTGGAAAGATAAATACCCAAAAAAAAAAATCCTATGGGAATTGCACATAGAGCTATCAATACAAAAGAGTTTGTGCTGCTTTTGGGTGGTCTCTGGTTTTCACTGAAGATGTGAAGGATCTTCTTAACATTGTTTTGTTGGGCCATCCCTTCAAGAATACTAAGGCAATACTGTGGCTGCATGTTACTCGTGCTTTCTTTTGGATTCGTTGGAAGGAGAGAAACCAAAAAGTTTTTACATACAAAGAAAAGCCTTTCGATGTGTTCTTTGATCTTGTTATTTATTATGATATCTCTTGGTGTAAAAGTTAAACATACGCTTCCTTTATGACCAATTAGGAATGCTTTTTATAATCACCATGGATTTTATATCCTTTTTGTAATTTCATACCTCAATGAAATTGTTTCTTATCCAAAAAAATAATAATAATGAGAATGACTCGCCAATAACATAAGATTTAAAATTTTTTAAAAAGTATAAATGTACGAGAGTATGTATGCATACATAAAATGATTACCTAAGATGATACTGGAGGTCAAGGTCATGCAAGTGTGAAAAAACCTGCAAATTTTAAGAAGACAATCAAGCATAAGCATCATGGTAAATTAGAATTTAAGATCCCAAAAAAAGAATCCCCGTCTTTAAAAAAAATAGAAAGAAAAAAAAAGTTAGATATTGTCAAATTGAGAGTATGCTCATCGACTAGAGGTCAGAGGTTCAAATTCTCTGTCTTTACTAGTTGAACTAAAAAAAAAAAATAGAATTTCGAAAGTTCAGAAAACCATCTGTACAATTTGGCTTGCGGCAACAGAAAAGGCTTTTCCGGACATACCTTTCGGGATACAGATCGAATTGTCCTTAGTGCAACCTTAGAGAAAACAGCAGTCCGCAACTCTATAATAACATGAGAGGAATCTCATTACAACAGTAGAAACTAGTTGATAAATTGTAAATAAACAATAATATATTTTTAAGCTATGAGGTAGAAGAAGCATGCGGAAAACGTAGAACGAGTATAAGCAATTACATCATGTCTAGTACCGTTGAAAGCAGATGCCCCAGACCGGGCAATGCCATAACCAACTAAAACCGAAGCTGGTGTCGCAAAAAGAGTTAACATGGTGGAATTGGCGGCAGTAAAGGACGCAAGAGCAGCTGCATTCCCTGAAGCAGTGGTCAACCAGTCAACAGCTAGCTTGAAGAGAAACGGTACCTGAACGTTCAAAATCTACAAGGAAAAAAGAGCGAAAATGAAACACTGGAGAAGAGAAACATGGGTGCTATGCGTGATGATTGATTTAAATAATCAGACCTTAGCCCCGACCAAGAAACCCAAAGCCATTATGACCCTGAAACGGAACTCGGAGTTATCTTTCATCCACAAGTAACTAGCAAGAGTACGCAAAATCTTCGTATCAGCAACTTGGGACTCCGATCCTTTACCAACATGCTTAATACCTTGGCCTCCGGGAGATGTAGCATCACTGCCATTTGCAGAAGCGGTTGAGAACACTAGTCGCCCATTTAACATCGAACCCTGCGTTGAATTGTATAAAACCATGGAAATGGAGGAGAAATTAACACTCAACTTCAAGATACATTACAATTTAATAACAAAATACATAATCCACCAAAAAAAAAACTAACAGATTGAGATCCTCTCGTCGAGGAGGAAGAAGAAGGATCAGGCAAGAATGCATGGACACGACTCGGCGGTTTGGAATTCGGTCTGAATGTACTAAAACTACGAGAATTGCGGCCTTGAATGTACAGAATACGATCGTCATGTGTTCTGATGAAGTTGCCGCCAAAGCTCGGATGTCGATCGGAGATGCTTCCAAGTATACCAGTTGAAAGACGACTGTAATTACGATTGCAATAGATTAAGAACGAAGCTCCACCTTTAGGAGACATAAAATGTCGGCGATTAGATTGAATCAGCTCGGTCGCTCCGAGACACCGACACGCAGCCAACATTCTTCTTCTTGTTCTTCAATTCCTCAATTCCTCAGTATTCCGATTACCAGAACAGAAGTGTAGTTCCCTAATCCAAAGCTCAGGGCCCAGTAATCTTGAATGGATGATTCAGTCAACCCAACGGAAATTACTCAAGCATGTTCCATAAATTAACAGGATATCCGAAACCCTAAATCGTGCGCGCAATTTATAACAAGTAGACGGAGAAGAGTAAACTTTGCCGCGCCATCTAACCTCCTGTTCCCGGTCTGGGAAATTGTCTCTCTTTTTTTTTCTTTTTTTTTTCTTTTATATATATATAATATAATTAAATCGAAAACCCGATTAAACTATTTAAATTTGTATTTAATTCTCTTAATTTATATAAACATTAGAACAATCTAAGCTTTGAAATATTATATCACAGTTCTTAATTTTTGCATCAAAATATATATATTTTTTAATTTTTCGCATTAATTCATACCTTGTTATTTCATAAAAATTAACAATATAAATTAACAACACTTAAATAAGTGAGCTTGCGATTACTATTGCTCGTAATTAATTAAATTATGCTTGGATAGAATACTTCAATTATGCATTAGAGTATTAGTTTAGACGATTAGCAGGTAAGCTGTAATGAAAAAACAGACCGATGAAATCTTTTTAAACCTTTCGTTCATGATAGAATAAGTTAGCGGTCGTCCTTAAGAAAACATATCATTTTTTTCGTGAGCAGATTTCAACGCACAAACTTGCTAAACCATTAAAGAAAATAGACATAAAAAGACATTCGAACTACGTTCATCGTTCGACGAACTACATTGCAGATATTGACCCACACGGAAGATATCGAGCCTCTCAAATACAATTAGATTACCAAAAAAAAAAAAAAACTACCTTCAACTCCAAATGTTCTGTGAAATCCTCACACAATCAAAATTCATACTTGATTAGAAGGGGTAAACAAAAAAAGGGCGTACTAAAGAAACGAAGCTACATACACAGCTTATACTTTTGCTTCTGCTTTTGCCACCGGCGGCAAGAAAGCCTCCCACCATCCGTATTCATACTTGGAATAGGGAGCCACCCATTTTTCAGGCTTCTCAAACTCGAGGTTGGTGGGCGTAGAAGCCAATGCTTCTTCTAAGCTATTGGCTTCGTAACTTTCGGCCAAAACTCGGTCCAGTCTCAGCTTCATGAACCTGCCCATATCAACAAGAAAAGGGGACCAAAATGGCGCAGTCAACCAAACACATTGTTGGCATACATGACAGAATGTTCGAGTTTTGAGGTCCTTTTACAATGGCTGCAACCATTTCCATATCCCTTTTCCTATTGTAACTCTAAGCACACCATTAAATAAAAGCTACGAGAATATGAAGAATCTGTTCTGCCTCAGATGATCAATTTTTCTATGGTATGATATCCTATTATCAATGAGCTGCAAGAACTAAATATACCAATGCAAATTATGTAAACGGGACTTGTTTGTTATGCCCGCATTCGTGAGGTTGTAAGAGTTGGGTCCTCACCCTTTATTTAATAGCCATTTATTTGAAAAGTACATCTAAGTCACCTTGTAACGGCTCAAGCCCACTGCAAGCAGATATTGTCCATTTTTGGCTTTTCCCTTTCGGCTTCCCTTCAAGGTTTTTAAAACGTGTTGGTATGGAGAGATTTCAACACCCTTAAAGAATGTTTTGTTCTCCTCTCCAACCGGTTTGGGATCTCACACACCCCCACACATTCGTAAGGTTGTAAGTGTCGAGTCCTCACCCTTTATTTAATAGGCTAAGTTATATAAAAAGGATACTATTGAAGTTTACCTTGGTTCGGAAAGTACCCTAGGTCACCGTCACACTATTCTAGATCTCAGCCTTATTCGAAATTCAAGCGATTTCTACTCCAAAGATAGTTTCAAAACACTTGTAAAAGATTAAGGGTAATGTTGCATCTTTTGAAAGTTCTAAAGAATTTCTACTATAGTTTTGAAAGTGTATGAAAAAGTAAGAGCAATATTCCAAGTATTTTGAAACAAATGACACTGTGAGGGGATTTTTTTATGATTCAACCTATGTAATGTCATAAAGAAAAACCAAGAATGCAAATAAGAACAGGTAGCTTACGTAATCCAGGTACTGTTGGTTGAAACAAGAGCAACGGCAGGTCTCTGCAATCTCTTTGTGATATTAGGAAACTTGTCCAAGAACTTAGGCTCAATGACCAGCCAAAAATCCTGCTCCTTGTTACGCTCGCCATAGTTCCGAAGCCGCTCGAACAGAAGTTCTTTGAAATGCTCCTCCTCATCAAGCATGAACTTCGCATTTGCAACTAGAAAATAATACTTGTTCGATTCTTCCTGCATTGGAAAGATCATAGAACCAGTGAATTTGGCTACTACAATCCCCAATTTCCAGAACGATCTAGGGCAAACACACGGCGGACATAAAGCAAGACGAATTCGGATCAAATCCGCGGTTTAATGTAAACGTCTCGACATCGACAATACATACAATTTCCCTAGATTTCCATGGATATCAACAATTTTAAAAATCTAACCCGTGATAATCGATTAATTTATACCTAGATATGAACAATAACGCGCATCGTCGGAGTTTAGAAATTAAAGGCAAGAGAAATGCGGAAAAATCTCAGAAGCTAACGATTACCTTGTCCGCCGAATCGGAGGACACAATTTGATCGGAGTTAACGGCGGCGATTGCTGTGTTGAACCGCAAAGAAAGAGAGGAACCTCGATGAGACGAGAAGAAAGCGCTGGAACCAGAAGCAGAAGCCAATCCCAAAGGCAATGAAAACGTTCGGCAGTGGTTGTGGAGACCAATTTTGGAGCTCGCAAGAGATTTCACGGCAGCACACTGCGTTGGAGTAGCCATGGCGGCTGAAGATGAGCCCATTACTAGATTCACCGTGCCTAACATTTGGCCTTCTTCTTCTTCTTCTTCTTCTTCTTCTTCTTCTTCCTCTTGTGATTGTGAAGGTAAGTGCAGAAATTGAGCAGAGCAAAAAATGGAAGTAGTGGCCAACTAAATGAATCAGCAAAATCTACAAACACAGGACGGAACCTTATCTAGTTATCTATTACAATGTCAAGTTACCATCTTGCCCACTCTACTCCACCCGAGTTACACGCAAATTTGTTTTATTCATTTTTTATTAAAGATAAAATTGTAATTTTCACAAGTGGAAAGCTCTCCGTATATTTTCAAATTTTATTAAGCTTTTTTATTTTTTTTTTTGGAAAAAGAAAATCAACAACAATCCAATTATATTAACTCATTTTTAAATTAATTAATTATTACTCCGCTAAAAATATATATTTGAAAGTATGGACAAATTATAAGAACCAAAATAATAGTTTTATTTTATTTTTAAATTTAGCCTGTAATGCTCAAATTTATTCATTCGTCCATGGCCATGGCAGCCACACAAGCAGGATTCTTAGCCGCAGATTTGAATCCTTTTGGCTCAGTGATGCAAGAAGAGTAAAAAGAAGTCCAGATGAGCCTAAAATACCAAGATTTGCTGGATGACGAGTCTTGAATATACCAGCTTTGGCTCGTGTGATCATAGGATGAGTGCCCAAAGAAGAGAAATCAACATCATAGGATGAGTGCCCAAAGAAGAGAAATCAACAGGAGGTTCAATAGAGGTCGAATTAGAAGTCGAGGGTGGCAAAGTGGAACCTGCAAGAGAAGTATCAATCTGCACAGACTCATCTACAAGGGTGGCAAAGTGGAACCTGCAAGAGAATATCAATCTGCACAGACTCATCTACAAGGTCAACCTGCACAGACTCATCTACAAGGTCAGAACAAATATCACACGGGAATGAACTGGATCGAAGAGTGTGCGGTGATGAAGTGGTAGGGGATGAATCAATCTGATGAAGATATGGTTCCAAGAAATTTGAAATAGAGATAGCAGGAAAGTGAGTTTCATTCAATTAAATTGAGCATATGAGACACAACTTAAACTAAAATTTAACTAGAAAAGACAAATGGTTCAATTTTTCATTTTATCCATAATGTAATCAATAGTGTTTCCGTAACAACCCAAGACTACTACTAGTTGATATTATCTGCTTTGGCCCGTTACGTTGAAGTCTGTCATAATGTAATCAATAGTGTACGTTTCTATAACAACGCCACCACTGGTTGATATTGTCCGTTTTGACTCGTTACATATTGCCGTTAACCTCACAGTTTTAGAACGTGCACCACTGGTTGATATTGTCCATTTTGACTCGTTACATATTGCCGTTAACCTCATAGTTTTAGAACGTGCCTACTACTGGAGAGGTTTTCACACCTTTATAAAGAAGGTATGAGATAGAAGTATCTCGAAATATTGGATGCAAATATTACAAAACTAGCCCATTATTAAAGAGTAGCCACATTCAAGATTTGAAAACGCCATGATTATTTCAGAGCATTCCATTCCATATTTGACTGAACAAGGCAAGAACAAAGAAGTATTCTTTACTACTTTATAACTCTAAACTTCAAAAATTGAATGAAAGCAAGTTAACCCCCTTACCTGTCTAATAAAGGAAGGGTTACAATAGTGTTAATCTCTACTCAAACAATCCTCAAGGTCCAGATCTACGCCCACCCGGTTCTTAATATTCGCGGTGGCGTCGAGAGGCGTCTTACATTTTTTCTGCAACTCCTTGAATCTGCAAACATCAAAAGAATGCTTCTTGAACAGCTTCCTTTGCCTTGAGAGGAAAAGCCTCTTCAACAGGTCTTGGTAAGTGGGATCTCTTGAAGTGATCAGGAAATAAGCATAGCCTATGACTAATCCAGTTGTTGTGGTGAAAAATGCTATTGGTTCCATTACATCCCATGAAAATTCCCAGAATGTCAGCCTGAAGAACAGCCCAACTTGCAGGATGGCTAAGCCTAGACCAGTCCACAGTATTCGTCGTACCTGCTTATGTGCCAATATGTCAATTTCTTCCTTCTTTTCTTGTAGCTGCTTTAGCTCGCTCCTTGTCGGGTCGTCTTCGGGCATCAAAGCAATGGGAATTGCTCGTCTCACGAGATCCACCACCTACAACATCGAGATTAAGTTTATATGTGATGAAAATTAAAAGAACCAGGGACCTTCCCTCCCTCCCTTCCAGGCTTCCCCTTAAGGGTTTAAAACACGTCTGCTAGAGAGAGGTTATCACACCCTACTATGCAATGCTTCGTTTTCCTCTCTCCAATTAACGTGGGATCTCATGAAAAGAAGATGTGACAACAAAATGCTAAACAAGCATCCAGGATATGACCTACTGAGCAACAAGATTGAAGCTTCCAGCATGCACTAATAAGAATGTGAATATAATGACTACTCAGATAAAATGATTGATGCTCACTCAAATCCACAGTATTTCTTCATCAAAAGAGATACCGGTTTCGAGAACTAACAGATCGTTTAACCCGAATCAGATAGATATGGTTTGGTAAAGCTAGGTTCTTACAGGAAGAACACTTCTGAGAAAACTCAAAATCCCAGAAAAAGGCTGAGGATTAGGCACACTTGCAGTTTTGACATCGGAATCAGATCCTCAGAACAAAGAAATACAACACTTAAAATCTGCTAATCAAGTTTCTAAGAATTCAAAACCCAGAAAACTGGAAGGCAAGACTGGAACGCTCACGTTATAGATTAAAAACAAGTAAAACAAGAGAGGCAGCTCTGATCAATTCTAGTTCAACTAAATATGTTATACTGAGTACAGAAGCAATGAAAGATGTTTGTCATGTACATTTTCACCGACCATTTGCAAGGAATTTTAGACGTCCTTGATGTTACAGACAGTGTCATATATCCCAAGTTCATGACAGGGAAGCAAAAGACAACATTTCTAAAGTTTTGTGTGGACATAGATTCAAAGGGAGAGCATAAAAGTAATGGGTTAAATGAGGTGAACCGCTCCCGTCTTGGAAAATATGGGACGAAACTTTTGACTTTCCTAGATTGCTATGTTCCACTTGGTGTTCTTTCCTTTTACTTGTAAACTTAAACACCAATTTAGGAGCCTTTTTGTAGGTATTCTTCTAAAGTATATGAAACTTTCAAGTAATCAAATGGGAAGTTTGGCTCGTTCTCCAAAACTAAATAAAGAAACAAATAAAATCCTGGCCCAAACTATTGGCTCTTGGCAGTTTAAGGGGACGTAGTTGAGAATCGCAAGTCCTCAAAAACTTCCCTTCCCACTACGGTAATCTCTTAATCAGCATTGCTTTTCTTCTCTACCTTTTCAATGTTTACGTGCAAATTCTGAAAACTGCCCATTTTGGTAACCAACAACTGGTTACCTTCCCGGAGCCGTGTTTTCTGCGCGTTTCACCTTTTGGTCGACCTTGCCTTTTGATTTGACCTTCCTTCATCTTAATGAAAAGCTAGGTTTTTTCTCCATAAAGGGAGGAAAATCCGTTCAAAGACTTCTAAACGCCAGCTCCTACCGACCTAGCTGGACCCCCAAACCTTATTGGCCGAATGACATGTTCTTTTTCAGCGAAAAAAACAAACGCAAAAGCCAAAAACCATACAGACAAATCAGAACTTCCAAGCATGTCCCTTTTGATTTATCTTTCATCTTTCAATATCTATCCATGAATGTGTTAAAGGATTGTTGAAAAACAAGTCCGGGGTCCGCTAATTAAAGGATTGTTCATGGGTTTATAAGTACAGAAATAAATCTATGAGATATCTTATGTAAACGGAGAAATATGAGAGCTTATTCTCAAAGTAGACAATGATTATCATTGTGAGAGTCGTAGTTCCTAGCGGACCCAACTTGCACTCAACAGTTGATCTCATGAGGGAACCCACATGACCCTACAATATTTGGGCGACAAGAAAATTCTTAGACCCACCAGTGATCTAACTTATTATCTCTAAGCTCTTTGTTAGAGCTCACCCACCCTTGATTCGTCTTAGATTCAAAAGAAGAAATATATTCAAACTTCAAAATTTTCCCTACTCTGTTCCTTAACTGTTTAGAAAATTGAAAAACCTATACATCTAAATCAAACCATTATATAAAAGTCTTGACCCTTTTAGGAAAATTTCTACCAACCACCCGTATTTCTGACTCTAAATTAACCAAAAATTGAATGAGATGATTTATGAATAGATAAAACAGCCACGCCACATGATGCAATGCAGTGCATTAATTGAATAAGGTCCCACCGATTTGACGAACCTTGTCAGGATGAAGATAGACCTTATCGCGAAACAGAAGAACCACACCAGCCTCATCGAGGACTCGAGCAAACGCAGCAGCTTCGTCCTGAGACCTAGCGATGCCCATGCTTTTGCAAGCTTCGATAAGCTCCGAGTATCCAATGGCCTCCTTCCCATCAGTCCCCAATTTCATCTTCAGCGCCTCAACATTTACCAATCTCATCAGCCTTTTGGCTTCCGCAAACGATATCGTCTCTCCACTAATTTCATTACCAGATTCTTCATTCACAGAGCCAAGCCCAAGCCCAAGCCCAGGACCACCGCTCGCACGTTTTCCCCCATCGCTACCAACTCCTGCAGATTTTTCCGAATCCACAGATGACGAAAACGAAACCACTCCGTTACAAAACCAGGCCGACGACCGTACCGCCGTCGATGGAATCAAAGAAACTCCTCCAAGTCCGAAATCTCCATAAGAAGATACCGGAGAAGAAGGCCTGCGAACTCCATTCACCAGCAATCTCCGACTCAATAAACAAGCACTAGAACACCATCTCCTCCACATCATCCCGTCTTACAGAGCTGAAGATAACAATCTCCCGCAACAATCCTCAATCGTCGGATCCAAAGATTCTTCCATCCATCATTTCGCAATCTTCCATAACGTCCACTGGGAGAGAGAGCAATAGAAAAATGATTCCAAAGGCTGAATGTAAAAAAACAAAGAAATGTGAAAGAGTGGGCAAATGTTCATACTGGTCCGTTTGGCGCTTTATAGCATGGATTTGAAGGTCCCGAGGGAAACGCCATGGACAAGGCAATGGCGTGGATGGGCTTAGTCGAGAACCCTACGCGCTTCGTGCGTGCTGTTCGATTCGTTTCGTTCTAGGACCGCGTTCAACGCACTCGCTGCTTCCAAAAATGGAGAACATATTTTATTTCGCACAATATATTTTTTTTGTTAAATAATTATATGTATATTTTTCTTTTTCACACTTCACGATTTTATTAATACATTAAAATATATAATAAATATGTGATATTAATATTTTAACTTAAATAAGCTCGGCTCCCGTGTCTAATCTATTTACTTAATAAATTTAGGTTATCGAGATTAAATAAGATGTACACGTTCGATTATGAGATTAGATATTTGAATATCTATTTTATTAATGAAAATAAAATCTATTTTAAAAATAAATATTCTTTTAAATTTAGGTTTTAATATTAGTTTATGTCTCAATTTTTTTTTTAAATATTTAGTTAATGATATATGTATGAATCGTAGACTGAATAAGGTATAAGTATAAAATATACAATTTGAATGCATTTATGCGAACGTGCATTTTAAAGTATAAAAGAATATTTAAATTTGTAATAAATATTTAAAAGTACAAAAATCACAAATGATGAAACGTGTCCTCTATACAGTATTGCTTTTTATAAAGTAGATATTTTCTCTTTTTATTAAATGTAATTAATCTTTTCGGGGACGACAATTATATGTAAATAAATATATTATTTAGAAGGAAAAAAATATTTAAATCTAATTATATATTTTAAAAAATTACATTTTTTAATTCAACGGGAGAAATTTAACTTCTGTCCGGTTCGGTTTTTTTTATTTTATTTACCGTAACTAATAGGAAATTTAAAACTCACTTCTAAATTTTATTCATCTCTCAAATTTAAAAATATAAAAATAATAATAATATTAAATTGGCTTTATTTGTTACTGTCTCAGCGACGAACCCAAGAGCCACTTGTCCACGGACCAGAAATAGACAAACGTGGCAAGCTTTCGCAAGGCAAGAACCAATAAATTGCCGCCACGTGGTGGTCGGCTCATTAAAGTCAAAATCAAATCCCTTTTGGATTAGAAGGCACTTTTGGGATTGGATGGACCTCACGTTTTCTATTCTCTTCTTTTCCGTCCTTTTATCTTTTTAATTTAATAACTAACTTTTACTTTTAATGTAATAATTGGATAAATAAATATTGAATCTAAATTTTCCTTTAAACCGACTCATCATATTACATAATTGACATATTTTTCTTAAAGAAAATGATATATGAAAAGAATCACTCATATTTTTCTTAAAAAAAACGATATTTGAAAAGAATCACTATGTCCTTTCATTGATAAATTTTTCATAAATAATTTTTTTTTTTTTTAAGTAAAATCACAATGAATCACATTTCATTATTATTTGAAACAATACAATTTTTTATATAAGAAATAGAAAAAAAAATTTAAAAAATCGATTAAAAAAGAAACCAAATATTGAAATATTTTAATTTTAAAAGACATAAAATCAGCCAGATTTTTCGGTTTTAAATTACCCCTAAAGTGTTTTAGAAGTCGTTGTAAAGGAGAAAAAGGAAGAGTCGTCGTTGGAATGAGAAAAGGGTAATTTTAGCAAGTGGCGAAATAATGGGGTAGGTGCACACTAAAGTCATCAAAAATAAGTTTGGAAATTGATGTGCAATAAATTATTCTTTTTGTTATGATTATTATTTAAAATAAAATGAATTGAATGAAAATTGAAATTATTATCTAAAATAAAATAAATATTTAAAATTGTAAATAAAAATTGACTCTCAATTCTAAAACAAAAATTTAGTTAGTCAGTTGTCACACTGTTGTAAGTCCTAATTTTTGTTCGAATTTAAGTACTTTAGCCATCTAATTATAATCCACAAAATTAACTTCCAACCCTACTTTAAAAAAACTATACATTATGAACGATAATCTTCGGAATGCATTTAACAAAATCCTAAGCTCGTTATATTTCTATAACGAATTACCCACTAGAGAATACCTCTAATTACTTAAGACATATTTTCGACTAAAATGTTAGATGTTCAAATCTAACACACTTGTTGTCTTCGTATTCAAAGTATAAATTAGGATCTTTCGAAGTTCTATGATGTTCGTGTAGTAACAAACGATTTACGATTTGAGGTTTTCTATAGTGGTGGCTTTTAAGTTTAACAGAGCAGAAGCATACTTGTAGCTCCAAATTAGCTACATTTTTTTTTTACATTTTTCATGTAGGCAAAGAAAGGAAGAAGGTAAAACGGACCTTTCATTTGTTGTGCCTTGCCTTTCTGAGAGTTTTAATCATTCCTCTAGCGATCTTCCAAAACCAGAACACGTTCATCATAGCCAGCATAGGAGGCACCGTCAGCAAGCTATAGAACCCCAAAGGGTACACAGTCTTCACCTGAAACACATGAAGGAGAAAAATTCAGCAACTGAACTGTATGGAAAGGAGCTTAGCAACCACTGTACCAGTATTCTATATGACAGGCTTCTCGGCAACGGTTGCTTAGGGTTAAGTATGGGGAACAAAAGGTTTTCCTTTTTCAAGGCATTTCTATGACTTTTGGAGGAAGCATTAGTTAAGTTACAGGAAGGATTCGTAATGAAGTTTGAAAAAAGTGCTTTCAAATAAAAAGAATAATTCTTTCACAAAGTTACTTTGGATGGAACCACTCATTCAGTGCTCCACTAAAGCACTTCAGAGTGTTTATTACTTTTAAAAATTTTAAGATCGCTCTTCACTGACATCAAAGATTAAACATGTTAGAGAGATCTCATATCGGTTGGAGAGAAAAACGAAGTATTTTTTATAAGGGTGTAGAAATCTCTCCCTAACAGACGCGTTTTAAGACTATGAGGTTGACGGTAATACTTAACGAGCCGAAGCAGATAATATCTGCTAGTGGATTTGGGCTGTTACACAAGCCTTAATGAACTAAAAACACTTTTTAACATTCCACAAGACATCTCAAATTCACCATCCAAGCTAGCCAACTCCAAAAATATATAATTTTTTATGATTATGGATCCCACTCGAACCATATATTTCATACCTACCCACTTCAAAACAACAAATTATCTGACACACAAGTGTTTAACCAAAGCTACGAAAGATAATCTTTGGGGGAAATTCATTCACCGTGATTAAAAGCAACCATTTGAAAATGGTTTCAAGGTTATTGGTCTTAAAAGTTTTCAAACTAGGAGGTTCTAGCAGAAGGGTTGGTGGGGTAGCGTTGTATTTCAGCTATAGATCTTTTGATTTCCTTTTTGCCATGTCTCTCTCGATAACATGCTTTTAGTTTATCTCACACGGACCCGTCCAAATGGTCAGCATCAGCTTGCAACTGATTTTTCCTTTTTATTTTCAGTAACTAACAGCTAACAAAAACTTCATCCTAAGAATTTAGTGCCTTGGCGTCGGGTTATACATACATCTCGATCGTGGATTGAATAATTCAAGCATGGAACTAGGCTTGTAGATCCATCATTTCTAGCACCATACTTCAAGAAAACTGTACTTGGATCATCCCTAGCACCTTCTTTCTTCATTCTTTAATTATCATGTTTGATTCCTTCATACTTAAAATTATTATCTTTCTCAACAAGCAAATTATTGAAGACAGTTCCCAACAAGAGATGTTAATTACTCACCTGATCGAAGTGTTTAAACATGTGACCAAAAAAATATATAAATAAGAGAATCCTGGCAACCTGAAGAAACAAAATTCGTGTCAGTTCTGCATGAGAAAATAGAACCAGAATAGACAAAGCTTGTATTGATTATGTCAAATGTACTTCGTACATGAGTGAAGTATTTTCTTATCATAGCTATGTAGGGAAAAAAATCAATTAAGTAATTTTTTTAATAAAAAATACATATTTGTATAGTGATGTATCTTCTTATCATAGCTATGGAGAGAATAACCAATTTCTTTTTGCTTGTTTTTTTTATCAAAAGTACTCAAATTTATGTGTAGATAATAGTCAACTAAATACAACTTTTAAGATGCCATTGAACACTTTAGACCAAGCTCAATGCCTGAATGCAGATATACATAATTTTCTATTGATTAAGGAATGTCGTTAAACAATAAAAAGAAACAAGATTTCAAATTATAAACATACCAACCACCCAAGAAACAATGCAATGCCATTAATGACGTAGCTGTTTGAGTTCTTCTGGCCAGCATTGTCCAAGTACCTGATGAAGTAAAGAAAAACAACGAAACTAAATACGTTATGTTTCTGACCAGAAAAACAGAGTACCGCAGTCTATATTTTCTCATTAGTAAGAGAGTATAACTCGTGAAAGAACCATTAGAAACTGATAGCTTTACCATCTAAGATTTACAAATGGAGTTGTGCACTCTGTGAAAAGAACCATTAGTATGTAAACCTGTCCTTGACCACTTAAGAGGGATTGAATGATTGAGAACAGTGATAACCCATGATGCAGCACCTAATTGAACACAGGAAAGCCAGTAAACAGTTGTCACTCGGTAATGAAGCAAGTATTGGAATACTTTCTTTACTGGTAGTAAGTATATAATCCATAATTTATCACATTCCCTTTCATAATAATTTTTCACAGTCCATGAATAAGCTCTCGTGCTCCCCTCTCATTTCAACATATTATTATAATCCTATTCTAGGGAGATAGAATCAGTGTCGGATCAGTCTCTAATATATAAGAAGAATAAAACAAGCAGTTGTTCGTACTGTTTGTTTTTCCATTATAAAAAAGATATATTAAAAAGTGAAACTTAAACCACAACGACATACAATATCAAATGAATC